TGAGTGAAATGTCCTTGGCGACCTGAATAGCAGTGACCACTTCCCCATTCCGGTCAATTTCGATATTCCCGCCCCAAACGTTGCCGTCCTTACTGCATAACCCACCGAGCTGAGTGAGAAACATTCGAGAAGGAAATACGAATACCGGAAAACAGTCCAAACGATATCGATGCTATGGGTCATTGAATACCATGCACGATGCCGATATACGGATCAGCACAGGCGCCTACCGCACGAATCGCATTGAATGCCTCTTGGCCGAGGCAGGTGGACCATTCCTGAGCCGAAGGCAAGATACTGTAATCGGCTCTTATGGTGCGAAAGTATCATGTATAAATGTTCCTTCGCGCCAAGCAGTTCTTCACTCAAGTCACAGGACATCGTACATTCTCAAACCACCGTTACCCCATCCTCCGGGTATCCGTCTCTACACGCTCGTGCAGAAACTCGATATAGAACGTCACATCCCTGTGAACCCTCCCGAAGTCGTGTTCCCCCTGGAAGCTTCTCCGGCCTAAAATAGATCTGAGATTATCACACTTCCCCAAATCCTCAACTCCCCCCAGTTCATTTCTGGCGGAATTCCAGGAGACGAAATCCACGTATCCCGGCTATAACTTCATATACACTGATGGTTCCTCCCAAAATGGAAAAGTATGGCGTGACTTTTACTGCCACAGTTGCATACGGAGTCTTCGAATACTCTTCGTGCAGCGTTTTATATTGCAGACTCATATGCGCTCATAGAGGCACTTAAATTCGCTTAATCAATGACATTAAAGGAAGTAGTGATTCAAAATGCTCGCTCGAATCTTATCTCCTGCTTCTCTTCTTCTGACCCTCTGACAATGATCATAAAATATTGGTGCGTCGTTATAATTTGGTTTCTTATTGGATCCCTGGCCACGGTGGGATAATAGGGAATGAAATTGCTGACCAGACAAGAAAGCTTGCCACGAAAAAAACTGAATCTACGCAGTCCCAACAAATGATACCAAGCTGATTATCAAACGTATTCTCAGTGAATGGCAATGAGAGTGGCAGAACTCAGATTTTGAACTCACGAAAATCAAGGATCCCATAAAGCCTTGGTCTTCCTCAACTCGTGGCTCTAGGCGCGAGGAGATTATTCTGACATGCCTTCGGATCGGTCCCTGCCATTTCTCCCATGGACATCTCCGCTCTCCCTACTACGAGACGGATCTTACAGTGGAACATGTTCGCCTGCACTTTTCTAAGGTAAGAGATAGGCTTCACCTTGCTAGCTTTCTTGCTCATGGAAATGGCGAATCTTCTCTCTGCAAGCCTTTTAGCTTCTTAAGAGAGTCTGACATTTACAGCATTAACTGAGAGAAGAGAATTATGTCAATTAATTGGCTTTTAATGGAGATTTTAAAGTGTTTGTCTGGCTCTTTTCTGCCAACCCCTTTAAAATAATTGAACACGTTTATTTTCAGGTTTACTCACATTTTACCTTGCATTAAAAAATGTTTTTAGTCTGGCACTGATACAGTGCGTATTGCTCTTAAAATAATTTTGACACGGGTGCCAATGTCCTTGGCTGATAAAGCGTCATTAAGCATCAAAATCACACCAAGGAGGACAACATATGTTCCAAGGAATCCGATGAATTTGCAACGCAGTGTCTCGCGTCACTAGGCTTCCCGCTCGGGCGTAGATCCCGTGCGGTTGAAGCCCTGGCCACGAGACTATCGAGTCGCCTGGTTCTCAAGAACGCATTCTCGTTCAATGAGATTCTCGTGGGGCCTATTCTCGTTCAGCCTTCGTCGCTTACAAAAACGAGAGAGAATAGGCGACAAATGACCGCATTTAATTGTCACTATTTCTGTATGAGTCACAATTTCGACGTAATGAAGTTTGCAATATAGGTATAATACCTTAATGTTTTTAATCAGTATCCTTGCTAGGTGATATGCTAGAAATATATAGCAACGCAAGTCGTACTATTGAATAGAGAAGATATAAATAATACGAGTTCTCTTAATTTTCCCCATAAACGAATTAAAATATTTGAACGAATTTAATATTGAAACCCGAGTTTAATTGGTTGTTTAGAATAAAAAGGAGAATCTTATACCTTGAATAACAACCGTAGTTAGTATACCCCAATTATCACCATATTGCCGTAAGACAGAAATCGTTACCACAATAATCCCACGATACGTACCACCAGTAATCGCTACATGGTGATTTTTTGAAGAAATTCTAATGAATGACTATTATTTCGCTCAGAGACATTTAGCCGCGATATCGTCTCCGCCCTGAGCATTAACCAGTAGCTTTGTACCCCAGTTTTTGTGATACATGCGTTTTAGAATCCTTAACTTCCTTTTGCAATTATCTGTTAAATGTTAAATATGAAGTATATTAATTATACATTATATATTTTCAATGCCATTTTGGATTCAGAATACATTCCAATTAGTATTTTAATACTTTGCACAAAATTGAGAGCTTGATTACCAAGTTTTAACATGGTTGTCTTTTCCTTCTACAAAAGACATGGCGTCATCGAATTTTCATGGCGTTTTATGGCATCTTTGCACTCAGTAAACACTTGTATTGTTTGTTGGCGTCGATATTTCAATTCGCTCACGATTTATTCGCTGCTTTTTTAAATTATTTCTAGAAAATTATTATTAAGTACCCCATATTTTGTTTCCTTGAATGTTTACTTCTGATAAGTATTTATTTACAAATAGTTCTTCGTAGATATTTTAAAAAATGTATTTAAAAGGTGGGGTGATCAGTCACCAAGGGCACTTGTGGGAGTGTTGGTTGTGGGATATAAGAGGTAAAATATTGAATTTAGTTATTTGGCATTTGGAGTGAAGGGGAATCATATAGTGTGACGTCATGGATACTCACAGCGACCACAGACACAGAGCTTTCATATAACCAATATATTTATTAACAAAGAAAACAAAACAAATATTTACACTTAATAATTTACTTACACTCTAGCTCTGATAGACCTACTATCCCCTGATCGCGGGAGCGATCCAAACCCGATCGAAGATGGTTTTGATTGTGGCATTCGCCACTCCTACTTTTGAAGCGCGCACAAAGCCTAGCTTCCATGACCGGATGTCACGCTGGGACACAAAGCCCGTTCTGGCGCACCAACGGCTGGTTTGCCTCGATCGCAGGAGCGATCTTATCCGATTGAGAATCGGCGTAAATCGTGGCACTCAGCCACTCTTCACCTCGGAGCACGCACACAGCATCGCTCCCCCGTGACCGCAGTCACCCAAGGACATAAAGTCCGCAGGCTTCGTCAACTAGTGACTCCAGCCTCGCGAGCCTGGCTCGCATATGCACCGTCGTGGCGCCAAATTTTGTGCACACGCACGAGGTTCTCCCACTGTCTCTAGAACCCACCCACTGGCTCTGTACACTCTGTTATATAGACGAGGCCCACGTGACCTACTACGTCACGCCACCCCCTCGCTTGTTATAACAGTGAAACGTTTCTATAGGCCGGATACTCCCAAAGCCTTGTGTCTCCCGTTTCCGCGTTCTTCCCTTTACGGAAAAACCCTTCTTCCTGTGGCAAGGCTAATCCTCTTCCAAGCGTCCCCAAATAGATGCCATGAGGCACGCTGGCTAATACGTTACAATAGTGAGTCTCTTCGGGAGTATCAGAGTTCAGGCGTATTGACTGCATTGCCACCAAGGGTGTACCTTGTCTTTACGAAGCATCATAAAAAACATAAAACATGCTCATGAAAGAAAGGAGGAAACATATATTTCACAAACAATTATTTGAAAAAAATAATAACAGGTTTAGGATGAGGAAGTTTGAGGGCAGGGAAAATTTCAAGCAATCTCCCAAAAGCAGGCATCGTTTGATTTATTAAACAAGTTCTTTTAATTTGATTCTTGGCTCCGGGATGAGCCGCGTCTCAATCGATCAAGCTGACGTGTTAGCCATCATGTTGTTGCCTTGAGAGTTATACACTCACCAGCACCAACGTCAGCTCGATCGATTGAAACACGGCTCATTCCGGAGAGTCAAGAATCATATTAAAATAACTTGTTTATTAAATCAAACGATGCCTACTTTTATGTAGGGCTCAGCCAAGAATAAAATTACTCCAGCCGCGAAAGCCTACGTATCTAAATTCTTTTAGATTTACTTTCTCTTAATTCTTTACAATGTGGAAAAATCTCAACTTTATAAACTATCTCAACAAAGTAAATGAGGTGTTTCGGTCTGCACGTTGATGACATTGAATCGGAATTCAACTTTACTCACTCCTTGGGACCAAACCGTTGTTTTTATGTCGATTGAGTGCAAAGGAAACAGTCGAGCTATACGTGTAATCAGGGCTCGCAAGAAATGAAATTGAAATTGATATTAATTGGGACATTCTGAAACTTTTTTTATCATTTGAAGATAAAAAAAAGTTATAACTTATAATTTAAATGCATTTGTCTACCACTTCTGTGCCGATATAACTGTGTGCATAAAACTGAGACGCCGCAAGAAGCTAAGCTTTCCCAGTAAATAATTCAAAAGCTATTATGAAAAGAAAAAATATAGAAGCGATCAAATGGAAAAGGTTTGTTATGTATTAACTTCTTTGGAAATTAACTTTTTCGCATTCTTTCACTGTTATGAGCGAAAAAACCAAATGTTCGACCTACCGTTACTCGTATGTTTGGCGAATATACTTACATCCTTACTACTCCAAACACAGCTTTGAAGTAAAAAAAAAGTTCAACTTACATCTCGAAAATGGTAAACTTCTCATGAGATTCGTAAAAAAACTCTTCTTTAAAATGTGCATATAAAACGCCATCTTACCAATGTTTGCATTTTGATAAGCAGTGTTTTGTTGCATTTTGATAAGCAGAGTTGCAGTTTGAAGGAAATCTGTGATATGATAGGGATACCAGATTATGAAATCTTGAAATTTGGACTTGTTACATTAGATCCATGATATTCAATTGTATTTTTGAATTTTTCTTTACAGAAATGAAGGCAACGAAATCGAAATCCTTGGTATACTTTCTTCACGTTGTTGAAATGGTACTTGTTCTGTAATTATGGTGGGAGAGCAATCCATGGAATGTAGAAACATTCTTAAATGTCCTTGAATAATGTATTGAAACCGAAGCTAACTTCAAACCTCATCGAGCCACGTGAACAAAGTGGTTGGTCTCGAGCTACTGCTGCACGAAGAAAATGTGACTGATGTTCCGGCATTTTGTAGAGAAAGGTTTGTGACTAGGATACATTTGTGATAAGTATTATTTTATAATAATAGTAATAATAGTAATAATAATAATAATAATAATAATAATAATCTGAACGAAATGGCTCATGACGAATAGCGCTGACTTTGCAGTCGGGAGGCCTGGGTTCGATCACCGGGCCGGCCATCCTGACCAGGGTTTTCGTATTTCCCTCGGTCATACAACCAATTCTGGCTACGATCACCTCTCATCATCATTCTTATAATTTATAATTCAAGGCCGATTCAACGTCTTACCAAGGGATGCAGCCGAAACGCTGATCCCCCTAAATGTCGTATGACCCATAAATGGCTCATACACATATAACAATAATGATAATTGTAATAATACATTAATAATTTTTCATGCAAGAACAAATAATAAATATATGCACCCAAAGAAGGAATTGCTTCTACTCCGATGCATTTGAGAGAAAAAAATGTACAAAACCCAACTTGCAACTAGGTAAATATTTCAATATGAATTATTCAAATGTGAAAGTTGTATTCAATGTTAATTTATAAGGAATGAGACAATACGCATGCCATAAGTTATGTAAAAGTATAAACAAAACTAACACAAAATAAGTTATGATTATTCAGATATGAAGTAAAGAATTATCATAATGAATTGCCGTTTGTCCTTATATGGGACATTCATTGTGAAGTCGGACACCAATTTAAACATGTGTTTTCAGACATATTTTTAAGGTCAACTAGACAAAATTATTAAGACCCATAATCGTTAATTTGGCATGGACTTGTCAAGTGATGATTTTTTAAATATTTTGTTTGTAAAACCGCTATCGATATTTTGAATTAGCAATTACTTCTAAACTGTAGAGTAGAAAGACAAACTATTGTAACGTTTCTCTGTGGTGAATTAAAACTAACTCTGGTAATATTTAACAGAAACGTTTATTCGTAATCAATTATACATTAAAACCTACTTGATCTATTTACAGGTAGATTACACAGTCTTTGTGTTTGTCACTTAATTATTTTCCTTACACACGACTCCGTTTTCTTGATTATTTATTTGCACTGTTCATCGCAATTTGATTATTTATTTACACTGATTAGTTCTTATATAATATCACATAGTCCGCTGCACTGTCCATGGTCCATGGTCCATGGCGCAGACCACAATTCTCTGCACTGACTACAATTCACTGCGCAGACCAGGGTCCTCTGCACTGCTGTTTACAGCGATGCACACTTCACAGCTCAGTTTCCACTGCAGACTGCTGACTGCTGTTCACACACTGCACCACTGTTCCCCGCAATGCACACTTTACAGCACAGCTTCCACTTCAGACACTCTGACGAACTGACTGCTTATTCTCTGATTACATACACTGACTCGCTGCTGCTTACTTCCGACTACTTGTCTACTCTGACATACTTACACTGACTAACTCGCGGCCGCCGACAGCGGCGCATTTATACCTGGCCGACGCTCGTCTGGACACACCCGGCACTTGCTCCACCTTTCCACGCAACTCGCGAATAGTCCGGAACCGTCCAGTTCGGGCGAGGGGGCGCCGGCAGATGACGCAATCCACGCGCAGCGAAATCCGGCAGGTGCGGCAATATTCGTTACACTATAGATGACCTTGATAGCCGAGGTGGTCGAGGCTGGAGGACCCTAGCTCCCTCGACTCGAAGGGTCGCAGGTTCGAATCCCTCCGCAGGCATGGATATTTGTGTTTGCCTTGTCCTTACGTGTTATTCATATAGTTTGTCCGACAGGTAAAACTACCACAGTGGTCGCTATAAGACATATGATAAGGAGCGACCTAAGAAAGACAAACTATGACTCCCTTTAAAAGTTAAAATTAAAATGTATTTCCTTTTATGTGCACAACTTCGAAAATGTTGTTTTCATATTTGAAAAAAACTTGAACGTAATTTTCAAAAATGATAATGACAAGATAATTCTTTTTTCTACATTCGATATGACACTACGTGCCATTACCTTTATGTGACATAATTTTCAAGATGTAGAAACAATGGAGCATATGATATTAAAGCAACATATATGCTATGTATTCTATTCACATACATCGGCAAGCACACTAGCAGTGATTTCTCCTCTGCTGTTCCGCTTTAAGTGTGTTACTGTGATAGGGAAACGCTACCCCTTCTTTATTTGGCCTCATTACCACATGTGTCTGGCAGTTGAAAGATTCTTTCTTCGTGGACTACAGGGAATGTCTAGGGATTTGAATACGTGCGTGGCTAATTTAACGCGCGGGTGCTGTTGGGTTTGGGCGCTCGGCTCAGTTTCCGTCATCATTTCGGAGCTTTTACGGACTCGTGCCCTCCCCTGGAAGGGCATATGATTTTTGGGAAAATATGGGTGTACGTGGCATGGGGAGTGTGAAGGTGGGTTTTATGGCTGGGTTCACCCCATTTCAGTGTGTTGAACGGGGTGGCGTGGGGTCTTTTGAGGCGGGCGGCCGGCCATGCCAAATTAGGGTGGGCGCGGGCGCAGCATGATGCGATGGGAAGCCGGAATGTCAGCCGTTGCTTCTCACCTGTGACCCTGGCGAGGTAGTCATACAGGATACAGGTCACACCATACAGGATACATGCGACGCAAGCCTTTGGCTTTTGCGGCAAAAAGGGAGCAGTACTTAAACTGACTTATTCTGACTTAACGAATGGAAGTAGCCGGCACCTTGGCCGGCAATCTTAGGTCCACGTACGCAGGAATATTTTTCTATCTTGTTATAGCTTTTTTTCTTTCTTTAGTCTCGTTTCTTTCATCCATTCATCCATTTACACATTCAAACTTATGTCCATTTATACATATTTATAACAGTCATACCTATCACACACTATTTGCTCCACGAAATGCGCCACGGCGCCGATTTCGCTCAAAGCAGCGGCTATGCACTGCTGACTATGACCTTTGTCTCAGACCGTCGGTACCTCACGCGTCCCGTAGGCCGCCCGCGACGCTGTTAGAGCTCTGCGAGAATCTGCGTCGAAGCGTCCGGAATGTAAAGGCCACGTGTTTGGGCCGAAAGGTCCGGCCGGCGTCCCAGTTCACCTCCCGCCCGGTTTTGGACCCAGCGCCCTAGTACGCGCCTGACGGCTCACGCCCAGGGCTCCCATAAGTTACATTGTTTCAATGGTAGCGATTGGGTGCAGGGAGAGAACGATGCGTGCCGCTGGGTTCTCGGCCACCCAAATCCGGAGTAAGGCCGAGACCTCCGCGACTGAGAAGGTTTCGCAAGCATACGACCATAAATTGCGCACGCAGGCGAAGAAGAGGCGCATCTGGGGGGAGAGAGATCCGGTAAAGTGGGACGTAGAAAGACGGTCCGTGGTGTGCTTGTGCCAGTAGAGGCCATAATCTAGACAAAGCAATTCGCGTTTGGGAACCAGGGGAGGTGCGAGCCAATTAATAACACTGTCTGCCCTCTGATAGGTGAAGTTAATGGCCACGCATTTTGCAAGCTTTATGGCCAGCCGTTTTTGGTGAAGCCAGGTGGGAAGGGCGGCGAGGCATTCTTTCAGGTATCTCACTGTCTGCCTATTGTTTGCTGACTTCGCGTAATATGCAAAGTCGTCCTTGAACATCGTCCGCAACGCTGTATTCCTGTTCTTTTGGCTAGCATGTGCGTGTCATGATTTTCATGCCGAAGAGGGTGGGGGAAAGCACGCTCTCCTGTGAAATCCCAGCTTCGGCACGTCTTAGGGACGTCTGTAAGCCATTGACCCGCACTCTGAACGTTCTCTCTGTGAGAAAACCACCGATCACCCTGGTATAGCAGTCGCTTATCCCTGCCTCGAGTTACCTTGAAGAGTGCCATCCCGCGGCACACCGTGTCGTAGGCTGATGCAAGTCCAGGAAGACAGTACACAGAGTCCAAATTGTTCGTCTCGGATGATACGTAGACCCCGTACTTCCTGCTGCAAGCGCACAAGTATGATTGCGTTTAAGGATCTTTCCTAGGACTGAGAGTAGACTAATAAATCTGTAACTATTCGTCGTGAAGAGGCTTTTTCAGCACTTGGGTATAAATGCTCTTAATTTTCCCAACTCTCAGGAAATATCATTGTGCTAGGCAGGCATAAGAGCGCCAAAAAAGTCATCCATTTGCCAGCGATAGTTCTCAGTTGGACGACTGTGATGCCGTCAGGGCTGCAGGATTTTTCGTTAAGACGGCGAAGCGCTCCGCGGAGCTCTGCCCGTCACGCGACGGCCTGAGGTGCTCAGTGCGGCTGTCAGATGACACCGCAGACGCTCCGCCGACAAGTCATCACTGACGTCAGCGTCGATGAGTTGGAACTGCCACTCGTGCTGGTCAGCAAAGACATCGCTTTTAGCGGCGGCGTACCACATTTCGGTGTAGGAAGTAGTTGACCAAGGAGACTTGGGGCATCCGCATTGGTCGATATGGAATAGTTACAGGGGGTTGTCGTCCCAGGATTGTCGTCCCTTTGGATAAGCCCCATAGGTGTGTATCGTGGAGATTGCACTCGTCTAGTGTATTTTTCCACCGAACGTTTCTCTCGTGCTGAACGCACGGAAATCTCGGTTAAGCGCTATTGCCCGCTCTTCGTCCGGGGGAGTCACCAAATCGGCGAGTAAGCTGTACTGCTCTTCGGAGCTCTTGCAATATCTGTCTTTACTCAACTGTGAGCTCGGGACGAGAAATCAGCAAGCGCGTTACTTTCGTAACCTCTTTGTGACGTGACGTAACGTAACATGTCAGTGGTCAGATTCTCCGCAGATCCATTATTCATATTTGTCACTAACGGTCTGTGCTCGAGCAATTCGCTCGGGTCTTGATAGAGTTCCCAGTCAGTGGGTCTTGATAGAGTTCCCAGTCAGTGGGTCTTGATAGAGTTCCCAGTCAGTGTCATGTGGACAGACGGACGGAGAGGACGGACGGACGTTTCGAAAAAAACATTTTATTGGTATTAGGAGAATCCAAATCGTGTTTTCCCGTTTGTTGTCATTGACCGCCAAATTGCATCAAATTTGTCGCCTCGTTTCCAATAAATCACTTTTGATGTTCTTTGAAGGCGTTTCAGACGAAAGGATCATACATTTCAAACTTCCCGCGTAGATTTGTCATTTCCTTTGTTTTTTTGTTTCATAAAATCAAAACATAATTAGCCAAAACACTGTTTACAGTGCTAATTTAAATTTCGCCACTCACTCTACCGGGGCGTCTATGACACTTCTCTTTAGGAGTTAAAATGATACTCACAATCATTTTAATGAAAATTAGGCTTAGCGTTATCTGCTGGTAGGATTCTTAAATATACAGCCAAGAAAATGTCAGATTTGGGAAACCTTTCAAAATAACATGCCTGAGCCCCCTGGCCTGAAGAGCAGAGTGGTGACGACAGACGTTCTAATTGTAATAAAACACACACACACACACACACAATTACAGAAAATCAAAGCAAAGAAAGTGTCATCATATCGTCCTATCTGATCTCACAGTAAGCCAATACAAAAAAATGTGATGGTTACGAAAGGACATAAACCGTGCACTGACAGAAGAATGGTTCGCTTCAGAATTTATATTCATTTATTTCATTTGATAGCCCTATTGGACAATTTGTCTTTGTAATTACCATCCTAGCAAAAAACTAGTAGTTTTAAAATGTTTGCAGCATCATGCCTGGCTACCAGGAGAAGGTGATCGCGCAAAGTAGTTTGTATATACACTTGACATTTATAAAGAATTCGATGTACCAAACTGCATTGACTAACAGCATAAGGTACTGGATTCGTTCATTTATTCACTCTTCATTCGTATTGTCGACATAACTCGCTCAGAAACGCATCAATAAAAAAAGCCGCGCGAATTTCTTCACGGTTCCCCAAATACTCACTTCTTTCGTACAAAGTTCCTTAACGTAGATTGTCAACTGCTTTTTGCTAGTTCGGAGCGTCACCGAAAGGTCGCATCAGCTCCTGGGCAGCTTCTCGCACGAAAACGTGTGACATTGTCAAAATTCTGAGAATCCAGAGATTTCCATGTTAGACGCTACGAGCTCGCATTGTCATCAGAGTCGTGGTGTAGAAAGCTTAGTAAAAACTTCTTGCACACAAGGTTGGATTCAGGGTGTGCCAGGCACTGGATGCAGTCGTAACGTGAAGTAAAAACGACGATATTCGTGAAGAAACGTTTGATTTCGTCTGAACATAGGTAAACGTGATAATCTCCTTCAATGCTCGTTGATTCTTTCTCCAAGTAACAATCTTTGTCAATTGAGTGTCGTTCCTTTTTCAGAACACTCTTGTCTGATGAAAAACTATCGATAGAAAAGCCAACGTTTCGTTGCAGCTTCTACTAATAGCCCTCCCAACTTATATTAGAGTATTTCACAGCCTCAACATTGGTGCCGTAACAAACCCGGCAACAATATGGTTCTGGTGTCTGAAAAATTTTGGGTATAATTGTGATTCACATGTGAGGCTATAGGTGTTAAGTTCGGTTTGTGTGCATATTTAATAGTGGTGCTTTCAAACGTTTTCATATTCTTTCCTAAAGAAGCCACAAATCAGTGCTTTCTGTGTAGATAAATAGCATAAGCATTTCATAAATTGCTAGCCCAAAATGCCAAGACGGTAGATCTGATCAAAATGGCAATGGTTAGATTCAGCATTGACAAGAATCTCAGATCTTAGCAGACCAAATTTAGAATGTTTGTTAGACGGGTGGAGAATTGTGGAAGGTTATCAGATTTACAGTTGATGAAACAATCAAACGAGGATTTCGTTGACTTAACCCCTCGTTTGAGAATTTAGAAAGCAGATACATGCATTTTAAAAGCCAATGTATTTCTGAATTAGCCAAATTATCAGAAAAATTACATGTCAGTAAGCCAAGTCCTATGGGAGACTTACCACATGTGAAATTGCCAACAATCTCATGTAGTTTATGCAATTTCAAGATATCTTCATAACGGAAGTAGTGAAAAATGATTCACTGAGTAGTGATCTAAGCGAAAGCGAGTGAGATCTAAGCGAAATAATCTTGCAACATTTAATTGTCTCTGGACTAGACTTTGAAACTAGAGAATCGTGATATCAATCTCTGCAAGGATTCGACAAAAATAATGCCAGAATTGCAAGAATTATTAGATTTCTTAAATCATGGGGCAAATGCATTGAAATTTAATGAAGACATTTCTCAAAAATCACGATCAAATTCTGTTGCAGTTGGGAAACTCATCAGACAGCACCTAACCCCAGGGGGTTTGCTGTAAATGCGTCCAACTTTGCCTCTCCCCCCTCCTAAATAAAAGATTCGAAACCCCGCCTCTGCTAATGATCTTTGTTGACACGCCCGGAATCACTCACAATCAATCGAAATAAAGAATGGAGAAAGTCATTGTTGAACGAGAAGTGGCTACCACCAAAGGTTCAGAAGATACAAATAAACCAGATGTCACTCTTCGTTCTTCTGAAGAGTGCATTCCAAACATTAGAATGGGCGAGGATGTGTCGCGAAAATAATTTAATAAGGAAAATATAAACATGTTCAACTTTGAGACACGATGACCACACAATAATATTGTATTCAAAAGTAACCAATTTAAGTGTTACGTCAATAATTATATTTTGTAATTTAATGGAAAATGATGCTTTTTTTACTTTAGGGGTGGAATGATAAACACGTTAATCCATCTTCAATCGACAGAAGAGATTTACCTAAGCTTTCTATTTTTAATGTAAGCTAATGTGAAAACGTGTGGGTACGCGTATTATAATTTCAAGTAGTATTGACAGGGCCTGATTAACCAGTTGGCACGTTTGGCACAGTGCCTACGATAGAGCCGCCTGAACATTTCTTTAAACGTTTATTCAGGACTAAAAGTAAGTAAATCATATTCAAACTTAATGGTTTTTTAATCTTAAAAGTAACTTCAATAATTTATACATTAAATATTCACAATTCATTACAAACGAAGGTATGTAAAAGCGCCAAAAATCAGAAAACTAGAAATCTTTGTCACGCCACACGACATAAATTTCTAAAGAATTATGTTTTCTGTATTAATACCGATTATCTCAGGAAAAAATCATACTTATTATAGGGTATTGTTTTTTTATTGTACTCGGTTCACAACTGGTGGCCATGTTTGTTTGTTGCGTCTCATTTTCTCGTTTGCAGTCTGTTTTGTACTCAGCACTTGAGTGGCTGTTGGATTTTAAAATAAAATTCATTGGATTCAGTATTTTCCTGTTTGTGTTATTCACTGGAATTGTACAATAAGTGGTAACTTGTACAGTTAGTGGAAAGCTTGTATATCTATGTTTTATAATTGATCTTTCAGGTATGCATTTTGTAATGGATGCAACTGTGGGCTCTTCATTATTTTCACCAATGTTTCTTTTGTTACTTACATTGCCGTCAAACCCATCTGCAACGCTACCAGAACGCTGCAACGTTAGTCGAGATGTAAGTTATATTTGAGTAATACTCATGTAATTAATATAATACAAAATTATACAAAACGTTTTTGTTTATTTTCTAGGTTCACTTAAGCGACGACATCTGCCTTATATCATCGTATTCGAATTGTAAGTATTGTTCATACACCCTGGATAAAGATGTGTTAATCTTTTAGTAGTCGGGCTAGATAATACAAAACCATAGCTACGTGGCTGTCTGGGAGGCATGTTTCGCCGTTGTACTAGACTTGTGAATAGCACTTAATTTAGAGCTCTCTGATAGGCCAGTGATGGTAGAGCACGAAACTCAAGCGACACATCTCTCTTGAGACACACACTCTTTGAAGATACAGACTGAGACAGCTGGTGCATTCGAAAATATTTGTGAGGTTTGTGAAAGTCGGAAAATGTGTAAAAGAGTTTGGAGTTGAATTTTCAACTGTGAGTCGCAAATAAATGAGAGACAAGTTGCAACCTGTTTTGTGAACATGGAAATCAAAAGAGAAGAAAAGTAGTGGTTATCAGATGAATTTTCTGATTTAACACTTTACTTCAATTACCAATCATTAACATACTTTCTTTTTCTCTAAATCAATATTAAATGAAACATTGTTACGAAGTAACGCAATTTAAAGAACATCAATATTGTAATGTTTCTCACAGGTAATATTTTAACAAAGACATTTATCTTGTTTCTTAATGATATACCAAAAATACTTGATTTATTTACAGATAGGTTGCACAGTCCTTGTGTTCTCTACTTGGTTATTTCCATACACACGACTCACTTCTCTTGATTATTTATTTGCACTGTTCGCTTCTGATTATTTATTTACACTGTTCGCTTCTGATTATTTATTTACACTGTTCGCTTCTGATTATTTATTTACATTGTTCACTTCTACACTATCGCACAGTCTGATGCACCTACCACTGTCCGATGCACTGTGCACAGTCCTTTGCGCCGCCGTTCTCCTACTGCACCGCTGTCCACCGCTATGCACACTTCACAGCCCAGCATCCACTTCAGACTGACTTAGAGTGCATACTGACTTCGGCCGCCGACAGCGGCGAATTTATACCTAATAGACAGCGGCGAATAGCCCGGAACCGTCCTATTCCTGAGGCGCCGGCAGATGACTCAATCCGCGCAGCGAATTCCGACAGATGATGCAAGATTCGTTACAATATTAACGTACAACACTTAAAAATTATACTTCCTAACATTACAATGAACTGTGGCACCATAAAAATAAGTAATTATAGAAATGATTGTGAAAGTACAGTAACTGTTGAACTAAGCAGGGAGCTAAACTTGTGCAACATTCACATTACTTGTTTTATACAACTGTTGATAATGTTTCAACTGTTTAATGATTATATTCTCTATATTGTGTTACTTAATGGCAATGATGAACTTATCTTATTTTTTCTGTACACATTCACCTCTAATAACAATGTTTTAATACATATCAAATTGCGGGGATAATGTTAAAATTTTTGAATTCATTATCATGTAAGGTTTGATGAAATCAAACTGTTTCTACTTTTCTTTTAGTTAATATTTGCAATTTTTAGCCTTGAAGAAAAGAGGAGGTATATAGAAGAAATACTATTCACCATATTGTTAAAAATATTTCATGAATTAATTTAAATTTAATGTTTTTAGGTAAAAACTTCTGAACATATTTAAGGTGTCAAGCTCAATCATAATTAATACGTTATTGCATTATCAGATATCAGGCAGTGAAATTAAATTATAATCAGTGCATTATAGTTACAGTACATTGAAAATTCACTTGCTGGATTGACTCTTTTAGTGTAGTATGTACAGGACACTTCTATGTGTATAATCAAATTGCGACATTAAACAATATAAACAACTTTTTAAAACAGAAATTCTTTTGATTCTGGTTAGTTTATATCTATCTTTGTTGTGAACTTGTAAAAGATTTTAATGAAGTATTGAGGCAGTAAATTTAAAAATATACAATAATTGTTTAAATATAAAACACTCGATGATGTAATGTGTTGTCAAACTAATAAACAGAATTACCAGTGTGTAAATATTTAGATTTTTCTTATCTTTGCACCACAAGCTTGCAGCTAATGTTTTTTTCTTAAGCCCACCAATACAAAGAACCTTATGTATTTATTTTTGTATATGTAAACGATATGACATTAGTTTCCATTGGTCCACCAGGGATTAATAAACCAATAGTGAGTGCATTACTCTTTTGAAAAGAAACACCAACCCATAATACATTTTCATCTGAAATGTGAGGGTTCAGTTTGAATGCTCTAATTTGCTTCATTAGCAAATGTGTGCATTCTGTAGTCATCAAACCTCTTACTACTACTGAATTATTGTAGCTACTATTGTCTTTGTTAACATGTCAGAGCAGTTGTCTGGTATTCAGATAGACGGGCTGAAATTTTTTGAGATAAAAATTCCCCAAAAGCAGTGATAAATATATTTTTTTATTAATTGTGATTATCACAATACATCTAGATTTTTATGGTTAAATTGTAGCACAATGCATAACAATATTTAGTTTCACACCCAGAAAATATTAATTGCATAAATTAACATCCTGCATATTTTAATAAGAGCAAAGTGATTATCTATAGTGTTATAACAACCACAATGCATTCACAGCGCAGTGAAAAAAAAGTATAATGATAATCTCAATAATATCAGGATGGAAACACATAATTTCTTCTACTATGTTTTTTCATTTTTAATTCAATTTATACATAGTAAATTTTATTGTATTAATTGTTCATTTTTTGTAATACACCAATTATTTTAAAGTCTTATTGAGTAATTGATAATATACTGTGTCTAATTTGAAAACCAAATAACTCAAAATATACCATGAAACCAATGAATACCATGAAACTACCTTGCATTTCTTGTCACAAAAAAGCCAACTTTCAACTTAGGATATTACTTAATATTCTCCTTCATTCAAAGGATGTCTGTCCAGCATGAATGTTCTCCCTCAGATAGCATCAATTGATGAACTTCTGAATTTGCATTACTCAAGAAGTCAATGTCCTGACTTATTCAATTTATTACAATATAGAATACTTCTACATCTTATGGGTGACATTTGCAAAGCGATAAAGAAGTAGGTCATTATTTCAAAGTTGTGTGCATATGGTAGATAAAGGAATAGTCTTGCTGACAAGAGAAGTTGATATTTACGACAAGCATGTGACTTTTAATGAAACCTAGTTTGTATTTCTGCATAATTCAATTGGGCAAAATTACAACAAAATCAGTCTGGGCCACGTTTGCATTATTAAATAGGAAGATTCTCTACATTTTAATGATTGATTAGAACTAATAAGGTCATTTGTTAATTACAAGTGTTTTATTCCAAAAAATTCCCACAGTAATTTTATGTTCAAATTTCTGTGAAGTTTGCCATTTTAACAAGAAGATCACAACATGCAATGATTTTTTGCTCTCTAGTTTCAGTGAAATGTATTGAAATAAAGATATTAGGAAATGATTGACATGCAGATAAAGCTCCTAAATTGTTGGTCTGTCGTCATTTCATTTTCTATGTCTGAAGTCATTTTCTGGATTCAATTTAGGGTTCTTCTAGTCTGAGTAAAAACATGTATGCCTTCAATGGTCTCTAATGGAGCAGATCTCTCTCTCCAACTTTAAATAAGGACAATCATTGCATTAGAACTTGCTTCATAATTCATTGAATTAAGATTCACAAAAATTTTAAAAAATATTTTAATTCTTCATATTTTTTCGCTAAATTTGACAATCTATTTTTTCAGTACATACACTTTTAATATAATATTTTCAACATCAACAGACAACAATTTCAGAGCATTCTTTGCAATGTTATGAATAATATAATTATTGCATTGAGCTGCAAATATGCGATCATTTTCCAACAATCATTTCTTGAGCACCGAGTTATTTACACCATAATTAACAGATGTATTATGAACAAATGTTTGAATTCATTATCATGTAAGGTTTGAGTAAACCAAACTGTTTCAACTTTTGTTTTATTTAATATTTGCAATGGTTAGACACGATAAAACAAGGAGAAAAGTATTCACCGTATTATCAAAAATATTTTATGATTTACTTTAAATTTGATGTTTATAGGTGAAAACTTGATCATAAGGTGTTAAGCTCAATCATAATTAATGTGTTTCTATCTTATCACACACCAGGCAGTGCAATTAAATTATAATCAGTACGTTGCATGTAGAGTACATTTAAAATTTACTTGGATTGGCTTTTTTAGTGTAGTAGGGCCTATGTACAGGATACTTCTATGTTTACAAGCAAATTACAACATTAAACATTAGAAACAACTTTTTACAACTGAAATTCTTTTGATTCTAGTTAGCTTATATGTATTTTGGTTGTGGAGTAATAAAAGTATTTAATGTAGGACTGAGGTGGTAAATTTAAAAATTTACAATAGTTCTTGAAATATTACCACTTGATGATGCAAAGTCTTCTAAAATATTATCACATTAATAAACAGAACAACCGGTGTGTGAATATTTAGTTTTTCCTTACATTTCCACCTCAAGGTTTCAACTTGTGGTGTTTTTGTAAGCCCATCAAATAAGAAGACACATAAGTTTCCATAGGTTCACAAGGGATTAAATATCTCTAATTAATTAAATGCCTTTATCCAGTCTTGCGACAGTGAGATTCTTTGTTTTCTCCTTAGGAATATTATACTGTGATCTTGCTTTATTTAAAGTTCTATTTCCTAAAAGGTCTGCAAGTTTTCTTTAAAAAAATTAGTTGTACCTTGTAGTGAAGAAATCAACAACACATGCCGTAACCCTTCGCATTACCTTATCTTTGATGGGCCTGAAATTTGACTAACTTAAATTGTTAGTGTTGTGACTTCTAGTTAATACGTGATGTGTGAATGTGTGTGTATTCTTCAACTCTGGTTTGCATTTTTTGAACATAAAAAATTTGGGTTATTTTTGAACAATGTTACTAGAAATAATGTTTTCAAAGAGTGTCTCACTATCAACCTTATCTTGGCAAGCAAAAAGTTCTTGAAAATAATGGAATATTGCTGGGTAATCTTCCCATTGCACATTATTCTTTGCATTTAATAAATATCTCCAGAAGTGGTTGCAAAATGTGAAATTTATAGAGTAGTAGTTTGGCACCTGGAAAAGCATTGGATACGCTATTAGGTTCACTTGCTAAATCATCTGTCATGACATCAGGCTGTATATTTCTAAAGAAAGCACTTGAAGGCAAAATTTCTTTGTAAAGCATTAACCGATTAAGTTATACTGTTTTCAGATTCAGAAAAAAAAAAAAAAATCATAAGGCCAACTGGAAGGGCTCCATGAGAGTAGGTGCCAGAAAAGTAAAAACATTACTGCAGTGTCTGTCCATTGAACCGGAAGCATCAACAAATTTTATTTTAGATGATTTTAAATTTTCATGTACATACTTCATAAAAGGTGTACAAATTGACACTACTATTTCATTTGAGTCTTGTTCAAAGTACAATCTTGCTGCCTCAGTTTTACATTGTGAATTATATTTCTCAATAAAATTCTCCAGAGATTTAACATTTGAATGCCTTCTGGTTCCCCATTGTAACCAAAATGAACCTGCCCCATGTTGAGCATGCCAATTTGTAACTTAATTAAACCTTTCTAATGTATCAACTATCTTCAGTTATATTCCATCAACAGCATGGCACGCCTAAATGTTTAAGGTTCTTGCTATGCTACGTGTATTCCTTGGATTTTTACATTCTGGATGCATCAATTATGACGTATCACACCCGAGTGACATTCTGGTAGGTCACACCATATATCTATTTAAATTCTACAGAGTATTTGTTGAAAGCTCAGTACAAAGAGGGCTTTCAACAAATTCAGGTAAATTAAGTTCAGTTTCATTTTTTAAAAAATTTTGCTTTTTATCACAAAGTTCTCTAGTATATTGAAAAATGGTACAACTTTGAAAATGAGATATACCAAAATGAATTGTCTCTATCGTCTTGACCGTGGACCATCACTAACTTTCGAGGTCACAGATCTTAGGATGTTATTACCATGGTGAAATGAACTCCTGCTTAAAGGTTTGATTGACTAAACCCACACATTGAAAGAAGTGAGGGCTAGTCATCACTTGCAAACTGGAAAGATTTTTTTTCTTTGAGAAATCTACTGAAAAAAGTTTGGTCGGACAAACCAACAGGAGAATGTTGAGTCAGTTCAAAATGAGCTGTGCATTTTTTAAATATTTCATACAACTTAAGTGATCAGGAGTTAACAAATTATTAAAATGTATCATTATTATTCAAAGATCACCTTCTCCCCCCTTCAATATTTACTTAAAACATTTCTGGTAAGCTTACTAATGAAGGTTGCAATTCAAGAACTGAAACGTTGTGCAACTTTAAGATTACTTATTTTATTTGACTGTCTAGTATCTCAATACATACAATTTTTTTCACATTTATGGGTGATTATTGTAGCCTAGGCTTAACAAAATAGCATATATTATCACCCAAATTTTGTTTTCTTTTCATAAACGTTCATAAGTCATGATAGGTTAGTTTACTGTCTGCTAATGTACAAAGAATTTGTTATCATTCCAAATTACAATTCATTGTTTTTAAGCTTGAGCCTGTTTTTATTGCTTTTACATAATATCTTTTTAGACATGTTTTATTCCCTCACTTGTTGTATTTCCACAGTCATTTCTATAATTACTTATTTTTATGGTGCCAAAGTTCATTGTAATGTTAGGAAGTACTATTTTTAAGTGTTGTAAGTTAATATTGATGATGTTCTCTAAATTGCATTACTTCGTAACAATGATTAATATTGATTTTAAGAAAAAAGAAAGTATGTTAATGATTGGTAATTGAAGTAACATGTTAAATCAGAAATTTTATCTGATAACCAGTACTTTTCTTCTCTTTTGATTTCCAGTTTACAAAACAGGTTGCAACTTATCTCTCATTTATTTCGCGTCTCACAGTTGAAAATTCAGCTCCAAACTCTTTTACACATATTCCGACTTTCATAAACCTCGCAAATATTCTTACAAGCGCCGTGCGCATGTTTTTATGTATCACTAGACGTCACTTGACTTGTGTACCATTTATCTTTTCGGAGCCAGAATCGGCTGTCTCTTCAGAGAGTTTGTGTCTCGGAGAGACGTGTCGCTTGCGTTCGTGCGCTGCCATCACTGGCCAATCAGAGAGCTCTGCAGTAAGTCCAATTCACAAGTATAGTAGGACGTGGAAACACGCTCGGGAGACGCCGCGTCCAAGGCACAGATGCCTATGTTACGGTCGCCATTCTGCGACCTTCCTCAGCGCGAAAAAAATCTTGTTTAGCCCTGAGGAAGGACGCAGAATGGTAGCCAAAATTTTGGTACCTATGCCTAGGACGCGGCGTCACCCGGACCGCCATGTAGCTACTGATTCCGACCGCGGAAGCCGACGGTTCTAATGCGATACCATTATCACAAAGAACTAGATATTTCATGTTAGAACATTAATATTGGTTTATTGCCTGCATATATCATTGGCTTTCATTGGCTTCCTGCCCAAGCTCACGCTTCACGCGAATTCCAAATACCAGATCCACAGAAAGTAAAAGCGACGTTGCTAACACTATGAAACATTTTTCTCGATGACGTCTCTTGTGGACGATGCGGCACAAATTTTAAATCTCACTTTTGTCCCCCCCCCCTAAATAAGCTGTAATTATTACTTTCGAGGTAATGCACAAAGTTCACTACGTGACTTGTTGGACTGGATGTATCAGTGGCGCAACTACTTAAAGTTTAATAAATACATGATGTTAAGATGTGTTACTTGCTTTTTATTGCGATGTATTGATTTCCAGAGTCAATTTTTTAATGAAATGTTAAAAGGTTTTTAAACAGTTAATAGTTACAATTCATAGAATAAATCTTATTAGTTATAAATCTTTTTAAAATATTATTTCTTTACTTTGTAGCAACTGGCCTCAGCGATAGTGTGATATCACCTGAAGATATTGATTTTATCCTACGAGATCGTACAAGCGGTATTTTGGAAGTCAAATTTCCTATTTTGAAGAAATATGTAGCGTATGAACTTCGATTAAACGTTATTGAACACGTAAGGAATCAAGAGGAATGTAATAAATATGTTGATCTACAAGATTATCTCCTTCATTCCATACGCCAATTTGATGTCTTCAGCTGCAAAGATGATTTAGAACAAAAGCATTGTGACTCTGCTCCGGCATGCACGAAGGTAAACTATTATTAGAACAGAAATATTTCCTGTAATTGACCTTGTATGTAGTTCCTTATTCAGACGTAAAGCGAATGTATACTTCCAATGTAGACTATGGAATTGGAACAAATTAGCAAATAATGACTAATAGGACAAAAACAGTAAAAGTTTTGTGGTGGTTCCGTGGGGTGTCCCGATGGACAAAATAGGATAGGAGGTGAGCTCGGTATGACGAAATTTTCTAAATGTCCATTTGTGCTCATATATTTGAGAGATGAAGTTAGAAGCAATTTCTCCAAAAACATCTTCAGAAGTACTTTTGCAAGATCAGAATCTATGTAATAGAGGTAGGATAAATGAGAAATTGGTAAGTTGTGATTTTCGTAATTTCTCGTGAAATTGTCCAAGTATGTTAAGGCTCTAATTAAAAAGAATTATAATCGCATGAGTGAAGATTCTAGTAATTTGCCAATTTATTGGGTGGGTAGAAGAGGTCAAAGGTTTTATCTATAATGAAGCTATAATGAAGCTGGACTTGGAGTATATGTCAACTTGTCCACTTCGGAAGTAGTAACTTTGAGAAATACAAACTGGATGTACTTTAACAGAACATACTTTATAGCATTATCGGCGGTTTCGAAAATTCAGTGTGCAACAAAAATGAGACCTGCGCCAAGTTTTCAAACCTATCATTTGAAGTTCAATCCGAGAATACAATAATCCGAAAATTTAGAACCATTTTTGAAAAACCTTTAAAAATGTAAAGTACCGCCAAAAATCAAAATGTGTTTCCAATTCTCGAGGCTTCTTAGGAAGTGTAATTTTATGTAGTGAAATCATGAGTCGCCCCTTATTTCAATTCAATTGTGTTACTAACATTTATTTATGTCTTTTATTTTTCAAAATATCCAATTTAGCTTAAAATTTATCGTGAGACATCCTAAAGAACTGTAATAATTTTTCATCGTTTACCAGGTCGGGAAAATTCCTCTTTTGTCATTATCGTTCTGTTTAGAAGAGAAGAAAAATTGGAATTTCTTAGACTTCTTGCCAAATTCTTTACTTGTATTGTGCGCGACGGCTTCATAATTTAAGGCACGGAGCGAAGCAGAAGCGAAGTGTCCGTGCCGTCCCATCCTAGTCCGCGCGACCCACTCGAAAACTTCCGCCTGTCCGTGCCGTACCGATCCAAAACAAAACAGAAACCACGTTGTGCTTAAATGGTCCGCCTGACTCTTGAATGAGACTCTTCGTCCATATTTATTTGTTCCGGTCGTCTTCTGGTGTGTTGCGACCCCTCTTCCTCGTACAGGGAGGGGGTTGGGAAACTGGGAAGTGAAGTGACGGGTTGTTTTGTTAGAGGCTTGAGGATGGAGAAAAGGGAGGGGAAAATATGACGAAGACGAATGGGATGGGATGTAGGAGGGGAAAGGAATATTTTTGTCGGGTTCGTCGTGGGTTCATAGTGAGTTAATTGTCTATACACGTCTTTGTCTTTTGGTCTTGTCTTTCGCCCTCTGGTCTAGGTTATTGGGAGGAGGGAGTGGCATGATTTCCAGGTTTTTTTTTACGAGTGTGCCGGGCCATTTCTTAGGATATGGGTCGTGGGGTAGGATAAGGTTTCTAAACTGAGGATTGGTGACGAATGTTTGTAGCGTTTGTACGGAGAAGTTGTAAAGATGGGTGAGGATGTGGGGTATTTTGTACTGTTGTCATAAGTCATTGAAGCGGGTTAAGGGAGGGGGGCGGAAGATTAGTTGGAATACCGATCCAGTGCGCGCTAGTCTTTAAACGAAAAAGTAAAATCAGTAAAAATTATATTTGACCTTGGTTGTGGAATATTTACTGTCAAGGAGCAAAGGAAGAGATCATCTCATAATTTTGTTAGCATCATACTCAATGTATTCATTAACTCGTAAGGTCAAGAGGAAAAAAACATTTTTCAATGTTCAATTGTCCACCACTGTTTTTAGTTTTTTGATAGGGTATTTGTCCAATTCTCATTTAAATTTAAATTGTGTGACTTCTCTTAATTGTACCATACTTTGTTTCTATGAGCTAAGGCGTGTCTTTGTTACAAGTAATAAATTCAGTTTTTTGAAATAAAGACCAACTATTCCTTCCACTTCTCTAAGGAGTTCAATCTGTTTTCGTGCAGTCTGAATATAACGTGTCATGATTTCCAAATCGTCTGCAAATGCTAAACAGTCCATCGCTAATTTTGCTCTAAGTGATTAGTTATGCAATTTTGAAGATTGTTTTTTGTTTATGACATTACTTTCTCAAGAATACAATTGAATAGCAGAGGTGAGAGTCCGTCGCCTTGCCTTACCCTTGTTTTGATTTTAAAGGTGTTAGAAATACATCCCATGAATATAACATGTGTGACACACATTGACATGTGTGTTTGTCAGGGTTTCTTTTATCAGTGCAATTTTTCACATCTAATCCTTGTTCCTTTAATATGTGGAATAATGATTCCTGATAAACTGAATCATATGCTTTTTTGAAATGACAAATGTGCATACTAGATTTCTGCTACCTATTCGCTAATGCCTTAAGATTGAGTTCCAGATTTAAGATTTGTTCTGAACATGAATAACCTGGTCTGAAACCTCCCTGGAATTTTACAACTTTTGGTTCTTAATTGTTGGGCTCTAAGAAGAAGACATAGGGATAAGATTTTGTAGGGAACTGATAATAATGAGATTTCTCTATAATTGTTGACGTCTGTTCTCTTTCCTTCCTTATGTAATGGATGAATTGATGTAGTTTTCAATTCTTTTGGATTTTTTTCTGATTGTCAAATATCTTGGATAACTTTAGTGATTTCTTTTATGATGTTTAGTCCTGCTGCTTTAATTATTTCTGCTATTATTCTATCTTCACCAGATGCTTTGTTGTTTTTACGTGTTAGGTGATTTCACTTTCAACAGGTGATGTAGAGTTTGGATTTATTTCTACAGGTTCTTGTGGGGGGAATCTTTGTGATGGTTCTACACAGTTTAGGAGATTTTCAAAATATTTTGCAAGCTCCTCACAATTATCTTCATTGTTTAATACCAAATCTCCCATTTTCTATTTGAAGTGTAGATTCTGTGTTTGAGTTTTCAAAATTTGATGAATGTTCCTCATATTGTTTCTTGTAAAATATTTTTCTACTTCTTGTAGTTCATTAGTTATGTCACCATGAAAACAGGCCTTCAAAACCTTTCTTCACGAACTTGAACATGTGTTTTGATGAAAGAAACATTTAACTTTGTTTGCATGTCAAAAAGAAAGCTTCATACATCAATGTAACTTAGAGGTTAAGTAAATCTCATCACTCCCATTACTAACATCATGTATAATCATTTTTGGAAAAAATGTTAGTTAGAACCTTTTTACTTTAAGGTCACGATATGAATTCAGTGCTCTCCATGTCTTGTGCTTGGAAGGTTCCTTTTTAAAATGTGTTGACATAATTTTGAGATTAAACGTTATGCAAAAATTTACTAATGTTTGTTCATTTCAATTAGTCCATTTGTGGGCTGGTAATTCTCCAATTGTCTTCTTGTATTTTCTTTCTTTGCCTAGTTGTGCATTAAAATGACCTAAGAGAATTTTCACATGACTGTGGGGTTTTAGCAGCTATTTCTTCTAATTTTTCCCAGGCTTAATTAACTTCTTTTTGTCTTTTTTATTTTCTTCATTAATTGGCATGTGTGCATTAATAAAAGTATGTTTGATTTGTACATTTTAGTGTGAGTGTCATTAATCTATTGTTAAGAGGGTTGACTTAGTTGTAGAGTTCAATGTCTTGTTTCTTACTGCAATAGCCATTCCTTGGTGTGGTGTGTTTTTAAGAATCCGTTTTTCTGTCTTACACTTAAGGAGTCTAAAGTTACCAAAATCCATTGTGTTTTCATCTGAAAAACATGTTTCTTGAAGTGTCAAAAATTACGTGTTTTGTTCGGTTAGTGTCTTTTGAAGTTCATGCAGTTTCCCCACTTGTATCAATGAATTTATATTTTATGTTCCCAAAAAGGTTTTTTGTTTGGGCTAAATTTTTCTGTGTGTCTGATTGTGTGTCAGTCTAGACTCCTCAGAATCCAAAACTCTGGTTGTACTGTTTGGACAATAGTGGATTGGATACCACCTGGGGTAATTATACAATTCCTAACTCACATCCTCGTACTTGATTATTGGGATGGATTAATCCAGTTTTTTTTAGGACTGAAATGGTTAGTTCCAGAAGTTTTTCTTTTAGGGTTGCCTCTCTTAGGAGAAACTACCTTCACCACAGCTCTTGACATTTCTCTCGCCATTGTAAAATAAAACCGAAGAAGAGAAGGGGGGAGAGTGAAGTTAGAATAGAAGAAAAGAATGATTCCCTAACTCTCACATCCTAATAGCATCAGGGTCGGAAAAACGTGAGTTGGCCGATATAAAGATTGGCCGACAGGACTGACAACAGAAGCGTGCCACAAGTAAGTGGAAGCAATGACACGCCAAGTTTGTGGGAATTACAGCATGTTTAGGAGAGTGGCAGCAGACAGTTGCTCCAATTAATCACCTTCTATAACTGGAGGTGGTCCCAAGGTGCTATTAAACCCTCGACACCACACGGATTAAAAAAAACAATTATTTATTAAATTATTTACTCTGTGCAAATTTTTGTTGCATGGATAAAATACATAGGATTTTTATGCCCAATATTTTCTATGCCTAATGTTTTGAGGTAAAATATTCATTTTCAGGCTAAACGCAAAAGCAAAATCTTAGAATTGTACAAACTTACAAAGTTCGAGGCAAACCATCAGTTGGTACGCCAGTACGGACTTCATGTCCCAGTGTGACATCCGGCCACGGAAGCTTGGCTTTGTGCGCGCTTCAGAAGTAGGAGTGGCGAATGCCACAATCGAAACCGATCATCAATCGGGTTTGGATCGCTCCCGCGATCAGGGGATAGTAGGTCTATCAGAGCTAGGGGGTAAGAAGGAAATTAATTGTAAATATTTGTTGTGTTTTATTTGTAA